GCAAGCCGGAGTCCAACAACAGCCGAGCAAGCACGCCGGAGTCCAACAACAGCCAAGCAAGCAAGCCGGAGAACAAGCACAGCCACCCAAGCAAGCCTGGCGACCTGGAAAAGCGCAAGCTCTGGACCCCAACCAAGAGAGGCTCTACTACCGACCTTAGCTCTCCTGATACCTCGAAATCCAGTGGCCCAAAAAGCCAAAGCAGCCCGGGTACCTCAAGCCGCCGCACCCCTCGAAAGAGCAAGCGATCGAAGTCGCCGACGTATTGGAAGACATCTCGCTGCATTGGGTGTCTTTGCATGGGTGTGTGTGTGTGTATGCATGTGTCTGTTCTACATTATTTTATATATATATATGTTAGATATATATATATATTAATAATATATATTATTAATATATATATATATATGTATAGATAGATAGAGGTGTGTGTGTGTATATTATATATATATATACGCATATTTATTATGCATGTGTGTGTGTGTGTTTGTGCATACTGCTGCTCGTCGTATTCAACGCAAGTTCAAGCACCCCTCTTTGCATGTGGATATATACGTGCATATTAAGTATTATATATATATATGTGTGTGTATGTGGATACATATATGTACATATGATTAATACATCAAGACAGTGGGGTAGCTCTTATGTAGGTAGGCAGGAGTGTGTCAGGTTTGGCTGGTTTGTGGGCAAGGATGTTGGTGGATAGCCAATCATGTAGGTAGGTAGGTAGGTAGGTAGGTAGGTAGGTAGGTAGGTAAGTAAGGTAGGGAGGGAGGGAGGGAGGGAGGGAGGTAGGTAGGTAGGTAGGTAGGTAGGCACGTAGGTAACCCTAGACGGATTGTCCATGGACACACATATGTGAGCTAACCCTCAACCCTCAGCCCCTTATGCAGAAACCCTTCCAGGTTTTGGGTTTAGGGTTTAGGGCCCTATAAACCCTAAACCCTCAACCCCCTGTATGCAGAAACCCTTCAAGGTTTTGGGTTTAGGGTTTAGGTTTTAGGGTTCAGGGTTTAAGGTTTACGGGTGAGCTAACCCTAAACCCTCAACCCCATATGCATACCCTTCAAGGATGCGACGATACTTTGAGCCCCGATGCACCGGGGAGCTGAAATGCTCAGAAGCCGCCTTGTCGCTGTATAAGACAGCCGAAGGGCGCAACTCGGTTCGCAGCCTGTGCCATGGGATCTATAAGGCATTGTGCACGTAGTTAACTATATCGTGTGTGCCTAAGGTAAGAAGCTGAAGGAGTTGCTTTTGAAGCATGGCAACTTCAAGAGCCTGGAGATGGTGTTACGCAAAACCCACACGGCTTCCTACGGCAAGACGAAGTCGGGGAAGTGGGTCACAAAGCACTACCTTGCAACGGCCGAGCACTGGACCCCGCCCTGAACTAAGCTTACGCGTGTGCATCATGCATCAAACTGCAGTTGGTAGATTGTCCATTGTGTTTCCGTACGAACAGCTACAACAAAAAATGTAACATATACGTGCAACCTAGGAAGATGATAGCTGCTGGATGGCAGTGGGCCACCGCCACAAAGAACATCCGACGGAACAAAGTACATGGTGAGGAGGAGGCCAAGCTTGTGTTGGATGATGCCTTTGAGGCTATGGACAAGACCACCAACGAAACCTCAATGCAAGGTGAAATGGATGTGCAGGACTGCAAGTAACCATGCAATACCAGTTGACTAGCTGGTCAATGCTATCCTCACCCGACCTCTTAATCCTTTGTAATCCCCAAGCCCAAACCCCAAACCCCAAAGCCCAAACCCTAAACCCTTCACCCGACTTCTTAATCCTTTGTAATCCCCAGCCCCAAACCCCAAACCCCAAAGCCCAAACCCTAAACCCTTCACCCGACTTCTTATTCCTGCTTTGTAATCCCCAACCCCAAACCCCAAAGCCCAAACCCTAAACCCTTCACCCGACCTCTTAATCCTTTGTAATCCCCAGCCCCAAACCCCAAACCCCAAAGCCCAAACCCTAAACCCTTCACCCGACTTCTTAATCCTTTGTAATCCCCAGCCCCAAACCCCAAACCCCAAACCCCCTAAACCCTAATCTTGCAGGATGACAGCGGCTTCCTCCTGGAGAACGACATCCCGGACATCGATGGCAGCGATGCTGCCATCACCAACGGCCAGGCCGATGGTGCAGCAGCAGCATCCTCTGCACAGGCAGAGCAGCTCGAATCGTTCTCTTCGTCAGCTTCGTTTAAGTATCGTGGCAATATATGCTGGGGAATGGAAGTTGTACTATCAACAATGCATACTACCGGCCTGTTTGGGTAACCTACCTAGGCTGACGTTTCCGAGCCTTCAGCAGACGGCCTCACCATTGACTATCCTACCGGGGTTTCTCGAAGTTCTCGGGCGCAAGCTCGACAACGCCGTCGATGTTATCGAGACTTGGTTTGTGCATAGCTGTTTCGAAGCAGTCCAAGTTTGCTTGGTTGACATATAAGGAAAGGCTGTCCAAGGCCGGCGGCACACGAGCGGAAACGTGACCTATCTGTAGCATCTCTAGGTAGTGGCCGTATCTGTATTTTTTGCACAATCCAAGGCTGAGAGATCAGCTGGAGACGATTCTGTCGAATATGCGGGGCCTCTTCGAAAAGCTGACTCAGAAGCAGTCCGAAAGCTTGACGTGCAGTGTTGACAAGTTCAAAACTTAGCTCGTCCTTGATCAGATTTAAGTATGCATGTGTGTGTGTGACCGATAGCTGGGTGCAGTAGTGCTCGCCACCAAAGGCCCTTCTCAGACTCCTTGCTGCGATTGTTTGCGGAAACGACGAAGCAGGACCTGATCATGAACAACTATGTTGTGAGGGCGAAGACACTGAGCTGAATTGTTAAGTGATATCATTGCACTAGTACTATGTATGGTCGAATTATAGCATCCCGAGTTCAACCACCTTAGGTCCGTGAAGGGCGGTGCTGGCTCATCCACTGACAAGCCGAAGAAGGAGAAGAAGGAGAAGGACAAGCCCAAGGCCAAGAAACCCGGCAAGAAAGACAACAAGAACAAGAAGGACAAGGGCTCCCCCAAGCCCAAGAAATCCAAAAAGGATTGAACCAGCTCTCGAAGAAGTGCTGGTGTGGGCTCTTTTCTGAAATAGGAAGTAGAAAAGCCGTGCAGCAGATCAACGGGGCCGAGGTGTAAAGCTAGCTTCTTTCAGCTACAGGGATGTACTTCTACACCAATCGGATACTGCTAGGCTTCTTGAGCTAGGCTTGAATAAAGCCCTGTTGGTGTGCTGTTGTGCTCTTCCGAACAGCACACTATCGAGCAGTGTGCCGGCATCTGTGCCTGGGGTTATCGCGACGAAATCTGCGACCGCTCAAAATCCGCAGAGAGTTGTGACATGTGCATGTTGCCACATGTATGGATAGACCAAACCTCTTAACTGATTGTGCTTGCGAGGCCTGCTGAACAATGCTGCCAGCTCCGAGAGTGATTCAGGTGGGCCTACTAGATAATAAAAATCCTACCAAGCCCTAAACCCTAAGCCCTATCACAAAAACCTTTGACCCCAAACCCGGATGGCAGAACAATTAAATTTTTAATAAGATATGGATACACATCTAGGCAGGCCTATAAGCTTAAATTCTAATGTATATACATAACACCCTATAAGCCCTACCTCTATATACATATGCATGTATATACCCAAGCCTGTGAGCCCCGCCGACCCCAAAGCCCCACTCGGAGTCTTGCCATCCAAACACCCATGATATGAAAACCATCTAGTTTATAAATCTAACCCCCCCCCAAAAGTTCATTTATCGATAGGTTTTAGTATTGACTGGGATCCCCGAAACCGCAGCACAAACCTTAATCCTGAATAGAGTCGTGCCCTCGACCAGAAGCCCGAGCTGCGCAAATCTCAAACCCGAAACACTGAACAACTCGTGCCCAACCTCATGTGTTGATGTGTCCCAAGAACTTATAACATTTTGCACTTGTGTACACTTCAAACCCGAGGCCCTAGACAAGCTAGCAGTAATCCTCTAAAGGCACAGATCGAACCCACCCTGCATGCCCAAAACTCGATCTGGCTCTATGGCCGAAAAACCCCAAGCCTGAATCCCATAGTACCAACCCAGCTTTGAACCATTCCGAAGTGTGTCCTGACAGGAAGTGAAGAAGGCACCGACGATGACCTGGCCGATGAGCTTCTTGTGGGCTTTGAAGCAGGGGCCAACACGCTGCAAGCAGTTAAGCTAGCCATAGCTTCCGGGAGAGAATGCTAGTTGCTGCTAGTTGGAGTTTGTACCATTGTACCACATGATCATAGCATGGCTCGAGGCCGAGAGTGCGCGACGGGTGGTTCGACTTGCCCAAGTGGCCTCCAGGAAGCTACGCAATGTTGGCCCCAAGGCTCAGTTCGATTCGCGAGGTTGATTCAAACTGTATATGGAGCTTAGATCCCTAAACCCCTACACGCCTAAACCCCTAAACCCCTGAATCCCTGACCCTCTGGATCCCTGAACCAATGAACCCCTGAACCCCTAAACCCCTAAACCCCTAAACTGCCTGAATCTCAGCAAAGCATGCAAGAACACTCAGACCCCTGCTTGAATCAACTGGCAGCTTGTGGATCTGGTGGGAGGGGGCATCTCAATGCTTCCCGAAATTTGCATGCATTGATCCATCGACAAGGGCGGTCCCTACCTGTAAGTGTGACTTCGATATCAACTCCAGTGAGAAGAATACACAAGGGCTATGTTAAAACAGAACACATTAGCTTCCCAGTGTTGCTGCCATCGAGTTGGCTGCAGTATTCCCTGTCTGTCGGTGGAGAGGCATTCCTTGCTGGGCAGTGCCTGGATGCTGAAGCATCGATTCAACAATTATTCAGAAGCTTTTGGCGAAAGTACCAGGCCAGCAACCCCAGCTTTGAATTCTTTCAAAGACCTGATTACCAAGATGTTGCAGGCCTTTCAGTTCCTATCCTGATCCATGGTGATGAAGGACGAGGGAGTTGTAAGCGACCCATTATGTGCATCTCGATACAACCGCTGATTGGACTGTGTGGCCTGCAGAAAGTCAATATGAACATGTGCCTGGTCAAGCACATTAGCCCCTAAGTAAACCCGATATCCCCTAATTCCTAATCTTGAACTCTATAACTTGTAAGGAACTCCCTGACAAGCCGAATGCTATTCACTGTGATTCCTTCAGAACTGTATGCGGGGGACCTGACACTCGATGTGTTGCTTGCTGCCCTGGCGAAAGACCTTGGAGAGCTTTATGAGAATGGGGCTTCTGTGGCTTTTGCCTAGATAGCAGTGCTTATTATGGTTTGGGGTATATACTAGCTAGTGCTTGCTCCTTGTTGAATGCACTTTGAAGCGTTTAAGGGTTTAGGGGTTTAG